CACCCCATCCAAAGATCATAACAGATTTAGGTACCTCATGGACTATGATCTTAACAAAGTTTAATATGAAGATCTGATAAATGAAATAACTTTTGTGCTAATCAATATTTTTTTATTTTATTTTTATCATTAATTTATTGAAGCTGTAGTCTGCACGTGTCATAGGACGTTTTTTTTAATTTTTAATACTGAAAATAGAACGAAAAGATGTTAAATTGTTATCCTATACGTATGATACAAAAACAAAAATATTATAAATATTGATCAGAACATAAGTTATTTCGTTTGTCAGATCTTTCTGTTACATTGCATGACATATATTGCTAAAACTAAATAGTCAATATGAAAACAATGAAGTTGAAAAATATATTATATTTATTTTTTCTTACAATCACTGTTAGGGTTAACAAAAAACTATACCATATATATATGTTATAAAAATATTTATGTGCTGACTGTCGACTAACAATTCAACGCACATATTGTATTAAATTACGTATGGTTATTTTAATAGTAATAATTGATATGACTATTATAAGCTTAAAGCATCATGGCGGCACGTAAAATCTTGGATATTTTAGCCGAAAATACATCAATATATTATTATAGCAATTGCCAATGCGTAAAAAAAATAGGCATTATTTATCCTGGAGTCAATTATGACTCACTAAAAATAAAAACCATATTTATTTTTAGCTCATTGTTTTTTTTTTTATTTGATAAATGTGGAATATTTACGAATGTATTATAACGTAATTCTCGATTTATTGTCATTTGACTCTGCATCATTGTACGTGTTATTTGGTCATTAAAACAGTCCTATTTTATTTGATCAGTTTTTTTAAATATTTTTATCCTGTAAAAATTATTTTACAATTGTTTCCTTAATTTTTTTTTAAAAATGGAACACGACGGATTCTACTATAAAATTAATAAAACCATTGGTGGTAAACGGTAAGTCACACTCAGTTTTTTATTATTAAAAAGTTATAAAAATATATATAAAACGGTATTACAGCTACTATGTCTGTGCAACACCTAATGTATACTGTAAAGGCACACTAATCCAACTGGAGAACGGCACCATCATACCAAAAAAAGTTCACACACATTTAGCTTATGGTCCAACATTTAATCAACAACAACTTATAAAACATTTTAGGACAACTTTAATTGAAAGGTCAAAGACAGAGACTAAAGCTCTAAAAGTTATTTATGATGAGGAATCAGTTAGGTAAGGGTAACTTATAAATTATAATGCACTTTAAAATTCTTAAATTTAAACAATATTTTTGTGAAATGCAAATTTGATAGAAATCAGGAAGCTGCTTTAAATTATAGTTGGCCAACAGCAGAGTCGTACATGCGGCAGGCCAGAAGAAGTGTTTGTCCAGCATTACCATCCACACTACGGGAGTTGGGCGAATATTTAGATTTAAATGCTAACATGTAAGATTATATAGTTAATACAATTTAAAATTTCTGATTGTTGTAATTTAAGTACCTTATTTATTGGTATCATTGTAATAATTCGACATTCTACCAAGAATGGATAGTCGATAATGATGGGAAGTATAGTGTCATGTTTGCGTGCCAAGAAATTATTAGTTCTGTCGTTCATCAGGGTGCCACAGAACTACACGCTGACGCCACTTTCAAAGTAGTTCCATCAATTCCCCATTGCAGACAACTCTTTATGTTGCATTTGATTCTGCAAAATCATGTAAAATATTATAACTATTAATTACCAATCAATTCCAATTAATTATACGAATAAAACCATATACAATTTTGTTTAGTCTATACCTGTATGCTTTGTTTTAATGGAAGTGAAGACTGAAGCTTCATACAGGAAAGTGTTGGAAAGATTCCAATCAAAATTTCCTGAAGTCAGACCATTGTCTATTATGATTGACTTTGAGACCGCACTACGCAATGTCTTCTCCGACTTATATCCAGAAGCAATGGTATATTCTTGCTGGTTCCATTTTGTACAGGTTTGAAATTATTTTTGTATCAGTTGTTATATTTAAGTCTACACATTTTATTTATTATTAAAGTAATTTATTTTAGAGTTTGCAGAAAAATATTAAAAAAATGGGCTACTCAAATTACGTTCAGCAAGAGAGAGAGGCTAAAATGTGTTTGAGAATGTGCGCAGTGTTAGCACTATTGTCTCATCATCAAATTGAGGAGGGATTTCAACAGATTAAAATCCATGCCCAAAATAATAATGTTTTGATGCCAAGATTTTTTACATATTTTAACAGGTAAATTTTATATAAGCTATCGAGTTAAATGATATATTATTGATTGGAAAATAAATTTTCAAAACAATCTAATAGTTTTTAATTTCTACAGTTTTTGGCTCACTCGAAAAGGTCCAGAGTGCTTTTCAGTATTCAATCAACCGCGGCGCACCAATAACAACGTTGAATGTTTTCATTCAAGTCTTAAACAGACTTTTCAGGTGACACACCCAAATTTGTGGAGAATGTTGGGTGAGTTTTTTTTACTAATTTTTCAAATTAAAAAAAATAGTAAAATGTGGATAAAAAATAAAAATTGTATATATCTTCTTTCGGGAGAAGCTGAAAACAAATTAAATTTTTATAATTAACAATAATTAGCTTTTGTTATTAATAATGGAATCTTAGAATTAAATGTATTTCTACATAGTGACACAGAAATAGTTATATAATTATAATATGTATTTAGGTATTAGTTATTTTAGCTATAAAAAGAAAAAATCTAAAGAAAAGAATTACTTAAATAATAAAATTTTATTTATTTTTACTTTTTAAGACTTCTTTGTATACCATTTCTGTCTTTTTTTATTTTAAATCGAGATAGTGTAATAGGTATATAAATCTTTAATGCATATTGATATTAAGCATAGGTAGCCATTTATAACACAAGTAGGAAGGATTTGTAATTGATCAAATCTACAGTATAACTCTTAAAGTATAACTGATTAAATTTAATTGATAAAACATAAATATTGAAACTAAATAGTTTTTTTGTTAATAATAAATTAATAATAAATTTAAACATAAATAAAATGTATTCAATTTTTAATAGTTTCTACCCAGATTGACAATAGGTACATATAAAAAAAAATACCAGTAATCAATAGTAGGTACCTAGTCATTTATTGTATAGAATTTGTGTTAAAATAAATATTGCTTTAATTAATAATTTAGTAACTATATTTTTAGGCATAATATTTAGAAGGATTAAAGAGCATATAAATCCAACTCCTTATAAATTGTAATTGCTATTTGCTATTATAAGAAAATACTTAAGACCATATATGTGTGTAAATATAGGTTAATGAATATTATAAAATTAAAATTAATGTCCCATGGAAATAAATAATTAAAATTAAATGTTGATTTTCCCTACCTAGAACACTTGAATAACGTATCAATGAAACAACATATTGTGGTGAATCAATTGGCAGCAGGAATGGCTACAACACGCAACACAAAAATGAAATTCATTTTAAATAGTCTGCGTATTAAACATGCAACAGTTCTGCTTACCACAGGAGCAATAACAATTAAAGAGTTCTTGATACAGTGCTCACACTGTGTGGATGGTTACTTAACAAGAGAGTTGAATTGGCAAGATGAAAGTGAAGGTACGTATAGTAAAATATAGAGTAAAATCAACTATCCAAGTAGCTATATATAAATATCATAGAGCATGTACATTTTACATGATTTCTTAGTATTTTATTAAGGACCATTATGGTCCTCACAAAATTATATAAAATTATTACTTTATTAAATAATTATTTATGTTTCAAATTAAATTATTATTCTTGTTGAGATTAAAACTTTAAAAAAACTAAAATGTAGGTACCTATTTTATCCATGAATAAAAAATAGACATTAATAACTAATATTATATACATTAAAATAACTTAAAGTATTTTATCTACATATAAATAGTTTTGGTCTTTAACTTCTCAATAGATTCTGAAGAAGAGACTGATATTAATGTGATTAATGCACCTGTAGTTGAGGTTGTTGAAGATATTCTATTGAATAACAATGTTGTTGATAATCCAGAAAGTAAGTTATAACTTAATCTTCCACTAATACTACCTTCCTAAAATGTAAAAATGTAAACTTAATTTATGTCATTGACAATTATCTAGGTATTTTTCTCACCATAATTTATACATAACATATTATTTGATATTCCAGTAAATGATCCTGAACAAGAAGTTCCAGCAGACGTTGAACATCAAGCTGTCAATAATATACTGAGTAATTATCTTCTTACTTCCTACATATTATTATTTTTTTATATTTAATTTAATATAATATCTCATCATTACCTGGTTATTAGATCCAGAAGAAGAATATAATGAGGCAGATTTCTTTGTACCTGAGGATTTGGCCTTGGCCATTTGGGAGGAGCAATATGGTAATGATGAAGAACAAGAAATACCATATGCTCCTGTTCCTCAAAATATTGTAACCATAGTTCCTCGTAGAAATGAAGAGGATCTATGTGTTGTGTGTAGAGATGGTTTGAGAACACATGCACTTATACCGTGTGGGCATAGAGTTCTGTGTGTCGATTGTGTGCCAAGGTTAGAACGAGAGAATTGTCCTTTGTGTAATTCTCACTTTACAGGTACTTTAAGAATTTGGTAACATCAAAGAGTCATATAATAATATACAATTTAATTAATAAAATAAATTGTTAAAAATTATTTTGTTTTTGTTTAATTATATACATAAGTAATAGTTAATTTATTGTTATTAACTGTTTCTTACTTCAGTTTAAATGTCTCCAAGTAAGTTTATCCTCTCTTCATTAAAAAAAGTTTTCTTGACCAATAACCAGAATGCACTAAGTAAAATATAATACTAATTCCGACTATAGTCTATAATATATTGTAAAGTAAACTAAATAGTAAATATATTAGTAATATTGATACTTACTAATTACCAATTTGTTATTATGTAATATATTATATAATAATATTACCTATTTATAATTTATATATAATATTTTCTTAATAATAAAAACGGATGTTTACTTAAGCTGTTCCAGGGATTTACTTTTTTGGCTGTTGGCAACGCCTTATTTTCCCTATTTAATCGTCTATTATCAGTTCATGGTTATCATTTATCAATAAATTTTTTTCTCTGTTTTCGCAGATATCTTTAATCGTGGTTTTCACTATTATATAATAATAATAATAATAATAATTAGTTTATTTTGCCAATGTCAGTATATCACATTAGAGTTTAACAAAAACAAATAGTACATAAGAAAAAAAAAAGTAGTAATTTTAAAACAAGTAAAATAGTAAATATAACAGATAGATTTAGACTATATTGGCTCACTTCTAAAAAGCTAAAAGCTTATGCTAATAAATGAGAGTTTCATAGAACATTTAGTAAATAAACGTTAAACTAAGAATCGTATAACAACATAATACCTTGTTCCTCTACAAATTATTTTTACTTTCAACCCAATATGACCAAATTTAACAATTTGACAGAGTTTTTAAATGTATCCGCCTTTTCTTGACCACCCTGTATAAGATTATTAAATAGGAAAAATAAAAAATAAAACAAAAGAATAAAAGAAAGGAAAAGATTAATAAATCATAATTAAGTGTAATATTGTCAAACTGATTAAGCTTAATATATAATTTTAATGAGTTAATATTATTAAAGTTAAAAAGATTTAAGTTTAATTTACGACACAGCAATGTACATTTGTAAATAGGACTCTGAGAATTGAGATGTTACAGTCTTATAAAATTTAATAGAATTGAGATTAGAATGACATTTATTTCTAGTATTATAATTATGATCTATGGTATTTAAACAATGTCTGTATTTATATACAAGTAAAAGTAAAGATTTATTATATAATATTGATATGTGTTGTACATTAAAGTCAAGGTATAACTGATTTGTTGGGTATAAAAAAGGCTTCGAGTTAATAACTTTTATTAAACTGTTAATAGTTGTATTTAACAAAGTTAAATAATCTTTATAGGTAACACCCCAAAAAGGCAATCCATAATAAACTAAAGACTGAACTAAAGATATATAAGTATATTTTTCAGATATTTAATATCTTAAACCTATTTTAAGCTTTTAAAATTATAAAATAGTTTTCTGATAGTAATTACCAATTTATCTACATGATAATTCCATTTTAGTTTTTCATCGAATATTAACCATAAATATTTAAAATGATTTACTCTTTGAATATGTTGACAATTACATGATACAATTTTATTTTTACAATTAATGGAATGTGGACATATAAAAGATTATGTATGTTAACTGAATCAGATCTAAGATTAAATAATATATAGTTAGACTTTTAGGTTTGACTCTAAAAAAATATTATCATACCAACTCTGAACAATATCTAATGAATGATTTGGGCCTTACAGGATTTTAACGACAACACATTTGAAATGCCCTTATGTTGCAGATCTCAAAAATGATGTTTTTAAATTTTTTTTATGTACATTTAATACTTTTTATGTTTTAATTTTGTTACAAATTATAATATACCTAAACCAAGATTGCCAAATTTGTTAAACATATGATTTTTTAATATGTATAGGTACCTAATTTTATATATATTGGAATGATTAATAAATTAGTAGGTATTATGAACTGGAACTTCCAAAAAAACTACCAATACTTACCAAAACTAGGTAACCAATATTTAGATTAAACCTATTAAAATTGGATATGCTTATGAATTACAATAAACAGTAAACTATGCATAAATGAAAAAATAATTATTTATTTATCTTTATCTTTACCTAGATGAAATTATATTTATCTGGGCTTAACACTGCTTTTCCTTAATGGTTTATTGTGCATTTGTATGATGTGAAAAATGTCAAATTAAAAAAAATAGTAGGTAGGTGCTGACAGGAGGCTTGTTAAAATCAGGAATAAAATAAATTAGTATTGTTTAACCACATGAAAGATGTATCATAGAAACTAAAAAAACTAACAGTATATTTCATAGAAAAATTCATATGCAGGAAATTCAGTTATCCTATAATATACCTATATGGATACAACAGTCTCGGAGCATTGTAGTAATAAACCTAGTGCATATAAACTATAGGTAAGTTATAATATTTAAATTTTATAACCTATTGTGTCGTTTTCTTAATACCTACCTACATACACAATTAAACTAAGTTTACTCTAGTCTCTGACCTTCAAAATATGTGATTTAAGGTTTTATTATAAATTAATGAATAGGTTAACAAAAGTACTTAATTATTATATTTTGCGGTATTTATTTTATTTCCATGGTTTTCATGTCATTCTTAGAATAGGTACCCACACTTATTTTTAATTAAATTGCATATAAATACATAATTAACTATTATAACTTTGATTAATGTTTGGTGAGTACACTGAATGTCAAATTTGAGACCAGAGAAAAATTAAAATCCTCCCAAGTGATTAAAATATATTTATCAGTGATTGTTACTAGTTAAGTATTTTTTTGGCGCTGACAGCATATTAAACAATTATGTAAAAAATTAATGTCTACAACATGGACATATAAATATTAAATAGGTATATATATCTATTTATATATTTATATATATGATTTGCACTTTGCAGTTAGGCTCTGAATTAATTATACATATTTTACCTTTTTATTCTTTATTATTATTGAAAATAATAATTTTGGGTGGCATTTTTTATTCGACTGGCAGTTCCTTTTTAAACTAAAATTAAAAGATGTTAGGCCATTAAGGGCATCCATTTGCATATATATAAATGCTCAAATTGATAAGAAACAAAAATTAAATTGCTGTTTCTTACCACCTTATACTTGTTTTTTACTTATATTTTTTTTTAAGCAAAAACAATTTTTTTTAAATTTATTATAACATAATACATTATTTATACAATTTTTATGAATATTTATCTCTTTTAAGCAAGCTTGTGATAGAGATAGAGAGTAAAACAATGTTTATTATTCTAAAACAATACTATAGATATGTACATTCAAATGGTTGTAATACAAGAAGATATTATTGATTAAAAATTGAAAACAATATATATTTCTGCAAAGGTGAGACATGATGTTCTAATGGTTGGATACATATCCCTGCCTAAGTATATAATACATATTGACAGAGATTGATACAGCATATACTTGTATAACTTATAGTTTAAATAAATGCAAGTCTAGAGGACCATGCACCCTCTAGAGAATTGTCAGTCTTAACTCTTAAGCTTTTAGAGCTGTCTAGTTCTAGCAATAATTATATACCTACAACATAAAACACTTTTTGCTTTATATTATAACTTATAAGTATCCCTTTTTTGTTAAGTAATGTTAATTGGCTAATTTGTTCTTGTTAGTTAATAATAAAATGTCATAGGTTTCTGTGTGGTCATTGTAATTATCAGTACTTCCATCAAGTATTATTAACAACGCCACTGCGGCGTTTTTATTTTCAAAAAGGTTGTTTAAGTGTTGAATATGAATTTTATATAAATTAATTTAATTATTATATATTTATACACTTAATATATTATATTATAAAGTTAATATATTGTATAATGTATGTAAAATACTAAAATATATATTGTGTACTATCACAGTATCACTTAATAAATTAAAAAAATTGATTATTATAACACTTATCGGTATAAATTCGGCTTTAATACGTTTCGGCTGCAATACTTTCGGCTGTAATATTTTTCGGCTAAAATACTTTCGGCTGTAATGTTTATCGGCTAAAATACTTTCGGCTGTAATGTTTATCGGCTAAAAGACTTTCGGCTGTAATATTTTTCGGCTAAAATACGTTCGGCTGTAATATTTTTCGGCTAAAATACGCTCGGCTGTAATATTTTTCGGCTAAAATACGGTTCTGCTAATTTACTTGTCCAACCAATTATTTTTCGGCCGAAATATTTTTCGGCTAGAATACGGATCGGCTAATATATTTTCGGCCATTATACGCGCTCCCATTGGTGCTAATATAATTTTAATTTTTAACTTTTGACATATTGACGATTATAGAGAGCACTACACTGATTGTCGATTGATATTTAGCAGTCAACTAAAGTATTGGGACGTACTATAAATATACGCAGGTATAAATCTGATAATTTTCACTTTCCTTGAGTCGCGAATACAATTAGGTATAGATAATTGTAGATATAACTATTTTGGTACAATAACTAACGTTATTTTATCTGTCATACATTAATTACTTGTTTTTTCACTGGTTTTATAATTTCTGGTAATTCCACGGGAAGGGGGGCAAGGGCGACCGCAGGCAAATGCGTTTTGACAATCAAAAAAATTAAAAATATGAAAAAGTTGCATTTAAGACTGCAGTCAATAATATCAGTATGCCTCAACCCATAGCGTTATTTAAAATAAATAAATAAAGGTAAAATTATTATGTAT